AAAATATATTCACAGAGAAATGAAAAATTCTAAAAGGATAGACAACCAAATGTTAACGAGAAGTTCACATTTGACTGGCTATTTGGTTAAAAGTGACTTTTATATTTTCTCATACCATATTGTGATAAATACATGTTCATGTAACTGCATCTTATAGTTTATGTTCATAGAAACATCTTACGAGGGACATCTTTTACTCAGGACCAGAGTTTATGAAAATGTAGGTGGTAAGTGCAGGCAAGCAGCCCAGCCCTGCTCCCTCCTCGCTCACCCTGGGTGAGCAAGGCACCCGTGGGTCCGGCCGGAAGAGCTTCCTGCTCCCAGGCCAGAGGGGTGGCAAAGAAGGCAGCAACAAGTCACACAGTGACTCCGGGGTCGTGCTTTAAGGAATGAGGTGCTTTTTAGCCGGGATGGGAGGGGCTTGGCCAGGCCAGCGCAACAAGATCAGGGCAAAACCGGGAGGCGGGAGCCCTGGACAGCTGTACCATTTGCGCACCTGCAGCAGGTCACCCACGGCTGCTGCCTGCCGGGGCAGGTATGGGGGTGCAGGTGCCTGCTGGCCGGACGCCACGCCCTGGCTGCATCTTGCCAGAGGAAGGGGCACCTCTGCCCCACCCTTTGCTCTAGGGAAGAGGGGTCTTTTGTTTATGCAACACCTTCTGCTTGTCAAGCTGTGGGTCCTGAGGCTGAACAAATTGTACAGGACTGACTATTCACCCAGAGAGGCACATGTTTTCCTATTTACAGGAGGTGCAAGAAAAGCCTTAAATCTGGCCTTGGGAAACAGATCTTCAGAGGATGGAAGGGCCTTGCCATGTGCCCTCCAAAGCTATTTTAAAGCATGCTATTTGCTTCATACAATTAGAGCTCTCATTGTAGGATGATGGGAAAATGTGAAGAGTGTTGAAGAAAAATAAATAAATATTTCAGCATCAGAGCCTAAACGTATATCAAAAGCCTTTGGAATATCTGTGCCCTTTAACTTTGCAATTCTGCTTTTCAAAATTCATTCTAAAGAATGAGCATAAAGGTTTGAATTATAGGAGTGATGCATTGCAGAATTATTTGTAACAGTGAAAAAAGTCCACAATCTAAACATGCACTACTAAGAGTTACATTCAATAAAGTACAATACCTTTGTGCTATGAAATACTCAACTAGGCAGCAATTCAAAAGCATGTTTTAGAGCTGGTTCACCCGCAGACGGGATGAAACGCCCCAGTGGCAGGAGCCCTACTGCTGTGGTTCCCTGGGCTGTCACCTACCAGATGCTGTGGCTAAGGCTTGCTTTCTTGCCCTCCCTTTGGAGGGGACTACAGCCCTTTGCCAGCCATTTGTCTAACACGACGTCTTGTATACTGTAGGTTCTTAATAAAGGTTTGTGCAATGAATGAATGACTAGATCTACATAGAAAGAAGACTAAAGAAATATGCACCAAAAGGTTAAGAAATATCATTTCTGGATATTTAAACATTCTCATTTATATATATATATATATATATTTTGGGGGGGGGCACATTGCAAATTTTCTCCAGTGGACCCAATATAATTTTGCAATTGGAAGAGAACAGCATACTATATTTAAAAATTGTAGCTCAGAGCCTACCATGAAGTATTTTGAGTATGAGAACCCTGTCTGGCTCTGCCCTCCTTCAACAAAGCTGTTACCCACAAATCAGAAAACCAGCATCACACAGGTTAGAAGGTGATTATTCTCAACACCAAAGATTCAGGGAGGGGAGCCACTCAACTGTAAATCTTTCTAAAATATTTCAATGTTGACATGATTTACAAAATAGTCCCTCTTTATACAAATTTTCAAGACCAATCTTCAAGGGAAATTTACTGGCTTGACTTTATTTCATGAAAGTTACTATTTTGACATCTTTGTCCCCCTAATTCAAATTGGTGATTTTATCCAGAGCATGGATGTCATGAAGTGTTTTTATGACAGCCTAAAGACGTACACTTTACACCTATCTGTCTGTCTGTCTGTCTATCACTCTATCTTATATCTATCTTGTATCTCCTCAGGAAAACAGCAGCACTAGCGAGTGTCTAACATTCTATGGAGAACTTCAATCAGGTCTCAGCGTAAAGAGTTCCTGGTTCTGGCCCCATAAGCTCCTTTAAAATGACCTACACTTGACTTCTCTGTAATGAAAATGATCTGGTTTTTCTGGTAAAATTTAAAAAAATATTTTTTTTTAAAGTTTGCATCCCGGTATTCTTAGCCAGGGACATTTCACAATGAAAAATTACAGAACAATAGTTTTAGGCTGTCCTCAAAGTGTTTCATTCTACGGCTCTGCACCCCGCCACCTCCCCAGTTCGGTTTTGTAGGAGGCCCAGGTCCAGATATAAATATTTAAGTAATCCACGTTGGTTTTCTGATCACCCTCCTTGGGTTTCCTTCCTCGTGAACTCTGGTCCGTGCCAGCCTGTGGCCACCCCGTCATTCACAGAGACACACGGCCCATTCTTACTGCTTGTATCATGTTCCCTCCAGACAGAAATCCTATTATTCGGTTTTGTCCCCACCCCAATCGAAACGGATCTACCCAGCGTTCCTCTCATGCATGTCTTGCTATGTAATGGCATGGCGGAGGGTGTTCCAGAGGCTCTCGGATTCCCATCGGTGGACATCCTGGGGGCTTTTCGGCACCGGGCTTACGCCACACCCTGGCCCCAGGCCGTCATTCAGATGACGGTGGTTTCCCGCGCGCAGGCTCAGCGCTTTCCGCCCCACGCGTCACAGCACCTGTCTCCCAGGAAACCCCTTTCCAACCCACCAGCTCCTCTGGTGGTCCCCAGGAGGGACCGGGAAGGAGAGGGAAAATGCTAATCAGAAAATGGGGCGACTCAGAGAGGAGCCCCTGTGCTTTCCATGCGCTTGGAGTCCGTGCCTGTGCCTTCTTCCTGGCAGCCCCGGGGCGGCCGTGCCTTGCAGGAGAACGGGCACGTGGTGAAAGGGAAGCTGTCCGGTCAAGCAAAGCGAGGACGAGGCCACGCGGAAGTGCACAGCGTCTGCCTGACCCCAGGCTGGTCGGGACGAGCCCAGCCTCGGGTGGGATCCCAGCTTCCTCTCCCCGCCGAGGGGCGCCCTTCCCTTCCCCTGCAGACAAGCCCTCCTGCGGGAGGACTCTCCGGGAGACCACGCCAGGCACAGTGCCAGGCTGCTGAACGGGTGCTCAGGCACGCGTGTTGTTTTTGTACACCAAAATCCTTTTGGAAATCGTTACAAATCAAAGTGATGTTTAAAAGTTGGCCGTCTCAGAATTTAATTTTTGCCCAGCTTCCCTGCCTCTGACCTTCAGGGCGCACTGCTTGGTCCAGAGAGGACGCTGTGGTTGTGGTGGGTGCACCTGCGTTCACCGCGGCGACAGTCGCCTCCGCAGGTGCCCTGTGTGCTGTTACCCAGACCTGCGGCGGGGTGCCCTTGCTTAATGGCAGAGTCCGAGACTGCTGATTTGTGCGTCTGGGTCTTGTCATTCCGGGGGCGGTTGTCTTTGCCCGCCCGGTGTCTTCCAAAGCTCCCGTCTCCTGTGTGTGTTTGTTTTTTATAATAACTCCACTTCTTGAGAGTGAAATTGGAGCGCGGTTAAGCACCACGCCTTGTTGGCTCTGGACCTCGTGAGGCAGCACTGCCTGACGCAAGTACAACATAAGCTTCATTTGTAATGTGAAATTTTCTGAGTAGTCACATTAAAAAAGTAAAAACAAATCGGTGAAATTATTTTAAAACATCTTATTTGACTGAATATCTTCAAATGTTATCATTTTAGCGTGTAATCAATATGAAAATTATAAACGATATTTTATAGACCTTTGGACTAAGCATTTGGAGCAGGCATGTGTTTCACTCTTACAGCACAACTGAATTTGGACTGGCACATTTCAAATGCTCGAGGGCCACATGTGGACAAGAGGTCACCCTGGGAGGCAGCTCAGACAGACAGGAAGCCTGGCAGGGTTCTGGGAGATCATCCGACCTGACTCTTGGCTTGCAGAAAAGTTAGGTACATTTTCTGAAGTTATGCAACCATTTCATGGAAAAGGCGCCATTAGAATCCAACTATTCTCTCCCTACCCTGTGGTTTTATCCAGGCAGCTGATCAACAGCAAAGCTGGACAAGCCCTTGTACCTACTCACACCTGCTCTTGGCTCCCTTTTCTACCAGGCATGGCCTACAGGGAAGGGCCCCTCCACCCATCCTCCCCTTTCTCCTAAACTAATAGCTTCATTGGAAAACAATTTGGCTGCAAACCAAGTCCAGAGTGGAATCAAATTTTTCCGTAGCCTTCTACCAGGTCCAGATAATAATGTTTTTTATGACTTTTCACCCTTGTCCCCAGAAACTTTCAGTTCTAACAAGGTACTTAAAAACTCTGATTCTTTTGTGCAATGGTTCTCCACAGAGGTGTCCATCAGAATCACCTATGGAGCTTCTTTCTTTTCTTTTTTTAATTTTTAATTCTTATTTCTTGAGAGCGAGAGAGAGAGAGGAAACATTAATTTGTTGCTCCAATTATGTACGCACTCATTGGGTTGCTTCTTGTATGTGCCCTGACCAGGGATTGAACTCACAAACCTTGACATCAGGATGATGCTCTAACCAGCTAAGCTACATGGCCAGGTAGAGCTTTTAAAAATTCAAATTCCTGGCCTCCTACTCCAAAATTCTGATGTAGGGGTCCATGGAGGAATTCTTGTAGATAGCTATTCTATTTTTTTAAGGGTTTCCAAGGGACCTGATGCACATCCCTAACTCCCAATGAAGTCACCTGCTGTCAGATGGCCACTGACATGGCCTGATCGCCTGTGGCCAGACACAGGACTGGTCACAAGAAAGATCCTGCTCTCCAGGAAAGGAACCTGAGAAGGAGGCATGCCACGCCTGGGGGTGTGGGTGCGGGGCGGGGCTTGCTGGCTTGCTTTCCTCACGCTCTTGCCTTGCCCCCCAGGATGACTGGAGCCTCATTTCCTGATCTCACAGCCTCACCTGCGGAGTGGTGCCTGCGTCTGAGCCTGAGCTCCTGGGAGAGGCAGGAATGCAGCAGGCGGGACTGGCTCTCGCAGCCTTGGCTGTCTGTGTGGCTCTTTACCCCTCGGAAGGTGAGTTGGGGTGCCTGCTTCTCAGCCTCCAGTGGAAGGTGGGGGGCTTCCTCCCAAGAGGAAGGGGCTGCCAGCAACCTGGAGCAGGAATTTCGATCTTCAGATAGGAATTAGCAGTCATCTACAAGAGAATGGCGTAGCTTTAAAGTCCTGATCTCTCAGAGGAATTTTCATGTGAACAGGAATATTAGTGACTCACTACCTGGTAGATGAGGTCCTCCTGGATTAAGTGCAGCTTGTAGTTTCCTGTCTGATGACAGCATTTTAAGAAATCCCCAGGGAGAGGCTAGGTGGGAGCACCGGTTATGCCTGGTCTCCTCTCGCCCTAACCTGCTAGACCGTCTGTATGGGGGTGCGCGTATTCCTGGAAGGGAGAGAGCGGACCTTCTGGGTTGGGGTTTGGGAAGGTGCAAGTTTTCTGGACAAAGTCAGCTCTGTGGATACTGGAAACCAAAACTGCAATCTGACCTTAAGAAGGACGCAGAATACAGGAGACTGACCTGTACAAACTGTATCAAAGAGAACGTACTTGTGAGCCGCTAACACTTATGCGGAGAGAATAACGCCGTTTGGACTGGAGGAAGCTTTTCTACTCTTTTAGGGAACCCTGCCTCCAGGCGCTTAATGCTTGACTGAGTCGACTCTTTTCTCCCTGCCTATTTTCCTAAAACTTTACCCCGAAAAGATTCTCTAAATCCAGAACAGAGGTGAAATATAAGTTGTATTTGGTCTGCTTTAAAAAAAAGAAAAATTAGGCCAGCATTTAAAAACAGACTGATCTCACATAGGCCTACTCACAGAAACACACATACCAATTGACGTTTAAATCTTCTCTTGAAAAATCGGGTCTGGTAGCAAAGGCCCCGCGTGCCCGGAGAGGACTGCCAGGGAGAGCCCAGCCTCGGCCCGCCTCACGCTGCCGTTGCCCGGGAGCTGCCGGGCTCCGGGGCACGTTTGCGTGGGGTGCCGGGGTGTTCGCCAGCGCTCGGCTGAAACCACTGAACCCGGGAAATATCTGCATAATCTCGTCTCCATTTCTATGAACCCATTTTATCAAGGCAGAGAGAAAAGGTTTTCATTTGACATGTTTCTGTAAGATTCTTCAGAAAAATTCACCATTGAAACTTTAGGACTCACCCCCACTGTTCGAGGGGAGTGAGTCCGATGCGCTGTTACCCAGACCTGGGGCGGGGTGCCCTGGCTTAATGGCAGAGGCCGAGGCGGCTGATTCAGAGCTCTGCCTGCTGAGACTTTATCTAAACAGGGGCATTTTGGCAACACAAATGTTTTCTCACCTAAGTACCTCCCTGCAGCCTCCTGACCTCATTCCGCCGTCCCCGCTGCAGCAGGGACAGCACCTGCCTGCAGGATGGAAGGTGGGGTGCAGAAGGCAAGGTGGAAGGGCAGGCAATGGGGTAGCCCTGCCAGGTCCAAGGCCAAGGCCCCGGGAGAGACTGGGTCCAGGCAGAGACAGTGGGACAGCAGAACGCAATGGTGTTTACCAAGGAACAGCGGGTGCTGAAAAGAAGGAAAGGCAGCTGGGGAGAGCCAACAGCAGTCCTCCGGGAAGGCTGTTTGGGCCAGAGGCACATTACCTTGTGTGAGAAGGCCCAGCCCTCCACCCTTTGAAAGTAAGTGCTTTGGGGTGGAAACATGTGAGCAGAGGCCTGAGCACAGCCGTGGAAGGGAGGGCCGCCCGCCGCTGTCTGCAGCGGACTCTGAGTGTCCGGTCCCAGGTCCCTGGGGAGGCCCTTGGGGACCCCGGCCGGGGAGGCCGGTCCGGAGGCACGGAGGGAGGGAGGTGGGGAAGCTGAGCAGTGCAGGGAAGGAGGTATAGGTGGCCTTGGAGTTGTTGCAGGCGGGGGAGGGAATGGGGCAGTGGCCTGTGACGGTTGGGGTCTTTGGGAAATACATTCTGTCCTTCTCAGTATTAGCCGTTCCGGTTCCTTAATGATCCCTGCAATGACCGCCTTGATAGGACAGTGCAGGGACTGCCATTCCCACAGTGTCCTGCACAAATCAGGAAGCAGTGAGTGAAAACCTTGGATTCTACCCAAAGGCAAGAGGGCATACTTCACACTGGCATGGCGGCTGGCTCCCAGAACTCAGTATTGAGTCCATAAAAATGTCTATCACCCACTCTCTGTGGCCCCGAGCCAGATTGGGAAGCCACATGCAGGGGTGTGCAACCCGCTGGCGTCTCTGCCGCCACGCTGGAAGAAGACGCCTTGTCTTGGGCCACACGTTGAATACATTGTGACATCTAATCACAAAAAAATCTCATAAAGTTTTTGGTAAATTTATGATTTCGTGTTGGGCCATATTCACAGCCTTCCTGGGCTGCGTGTGGCCCGTGGGCCGCGGGTCGGACACCCCTGGTCAGGCTCTGTGGGCCTGGCTGTGTCCGCCAGGTGCAAGTGGGAGATTTTGCTTCACTGAGCCCCAAACTGGCTTCCTTCTCACTGACGGTCCACCCTCTCTAGGGTGGCTCCTTATTGCACGGACACTTGCTAGAGACCTGCTGCTTGCATCCTTCATGAGAGAAAACGATCTCTTGCTTGTTGTAATCATAAGAGGCTCACTAGGAGGGGTTCCCAGGGGCATACATTTGTGCTCAGAAGCTGTTCTACACAGTCAGGATGTTCCCTGTCTGGGGGAACCGTCCCTGAGAAGCCCAACAGGACGCGCCGGGTAACCTGCCCTTCGGTGTCTCTCCAGGCGCGCCCTTTAGCTCAAAGACTGTCCTGTGCTCCTCAGCACTGTTTTAAAGTTCTAGGTTTTGGTTCAAGACCCAGTCATTGTATCTCTAATGTGAGTCAGGGCTTTTTCAAGTGTCCTCTGTTGTGTCTGGAGAGGAAGCGTGATTAACAGCAATCTTCTCCCCTGTGAGTCGTGTGTGAGCCCCCTTGAAAGAAAACATTTTTTTACTCTCAACAATTACTTTTAAATGATTTTACCATATTACTTGGTGTATAAATATAAAATACAGTTTGGCCAAAACTAAAGCACCTTTCCAAACACGAATACAACACTGACTCTTGAGGTGCAGATTTTGAGTGTGATGGGCATATACTACCATGTTCAGAATAAGGAGTGTTTCTTTCTCCACCACTTTTTTCTGTTTGAACCACGATGATATACTCTGGCCCTCCCTCAGCGTGAATGCATTGTGAGTCTGCTCTGTTCTGTCCTGACTGGCCCGGGACAAATAAGGCAGGACCTGACTTGGCAACAACACTACCACAAACATAAGCAAAGTTCCAATGTCCTGAAGGTGCTCTTTTACGATCGTCTTCCTTAAGGTCCAGAACATGTCTATTTAAAGATCATCACTGAAATGACATACCAAAGGTTAGGAAATGCCTGGAAAGCTCATGATCCCTGAGAACACACCCATGAGCTCCTTCCCAGAGGTCAATGGAAGGTCAAGTTTGAGAAATGCTGGTGTACTCAAGAAGAGTCTGGGTGGCTTTGATCTCCCAGAGGCCAAGCCAGAACTTTGGAAATTGCTTAATCACTCTGACCTCCAGTTTGCTTATCAGTAAAATAGAAAGAACAATTGTGTGTTACCCAGCTATTCTCGTGATTAAATGAGAATATATGGAAAGTATCTGGCACTTAGTAGCTGTTCAATAATTGTTAGTATAAAAATATTTAATATAAAATGTAGATTTTTAAAAAATGAATGTACCTCTTTTCCACTTTTTAAATCTCTCTCTCCTCCCCAGAGGTATTAACCCTTCTGGCTTCTGCGTGTCCTTCCAGAACTTCCTCTATGAATTTACAAATATGAACCCATTTATACCCACACTTATTTTTTTAAAAAAATGATGAGCACCACGGTCTACATATTTCTTTTTAAATGAATCAGTCTAACAGTGATTCTGTACACCTGAAACTAATATAAATAATATTGAATGTTAACTGGATTGAAAAATAAAAATTTATAAATTAATCACTTTCACTTAATCATAACAGTATACCTGTTTAACACATACAATTATGGCATAAGAGATTGCACTATTTATTTTATAGACAACATACAAACTTCCTAGAACAATTTGGAACATTACAGTTTCGTTTACTCATTATCAATCATGGACCTATCAAGGAAGAAAACCAGACAATAATTTGAACAGGGAAAGTCCATTGTAGAAAATTATTCATTATACCAAGAGACAGGCTAGAACAAGTGCTCATGTTTATATTCTTTAGAAAACACAGGAATAGGAGAGATTCCTAGGGCTGAGACGGAGGTTTCAAGAAGAGATCCTACACCCCTTAGCTGCCCAACCTGGGTAGCTCCAGATCTGGGAGAGGGAGCAGCCATGGCTCCACTAAGGGCAAAAAATAATCACTTGGTTAGCTCTCCAGTCTGCAGGGTAAAGCTGTCAGAAGGTGTCTCACCAGAGAGGGGCGCTGCCGGCTGCTGCGCTCTCGCGGAGCCCGTAGCGGGAGAAGCTGCCGGGGAAACCCTCCTTCCGTCAACGTCTCTCTAATGCCCTCTACCGACAAAGTGTAACATGACCACTGACAAAGGAAAGTAGTACTTTAAGAATTGGCTATTAGTCCTGGCTGGTGTGGCTCAGGGGATTGAGCGCTGGCCTGCGAACCAAAAGATCACGGGTTCCCAGTGTAGGGCACACGCCTGGGTTGCAGGCCGCGCTGCATGTTGACCTCTAAATGTTTGCTTGTTTCCATTTATCTGGTTACTTACTATTGTCACCCCTGTTCTAAGCACTTTAGTGTGCAAACTCATGCAGTCCTCACAGCAACCCTGACAGGTAGTAGGTGCCCTTACCTTCCCACCTAATATTACAGATAAAGGAACTGAGACAGAGAATTAAGTAACTCACCCAACATCCTGGCAGAGCCGGGAATCGAATCTGGTTGTCTTGTCTCTAGATGCTTAATGACTAAGCAGCGATGCCTCTTGGCGTGCCTCTGTGGCCCCAATTATCCACCCTGCTGCAGGAAGACCCCCGAACCCCTCCAGCATC